ACTTGGTCAATATTCAGCCATCTTGACCTCACGCTTGGTCAATAACCCATATACAGGGGTCTCATTTACGGCCAGGCACTGGGCAAATTAACTGGCTTTGAGGACAATTTTGCCCAGCTGGTTTTACCATCTAATGGAAAGGTTTTATTACCAAGAAGCTCAGATCAAATAGTTTTGCCCACCTGTAAAAACCAGTTGCACTACTATTGAAAATGCTAATGGAACCCCTGATTTAACTGAGGAACCAAACAATCAATTATGTTCAACCTTGCCACACATCAATCAAGTCACCATGCTAGTAATGGTACATTGACTGTTATTTGTTTGCACTTGTTGTCATAGCTTGCCCAGCTTTGTCAGAAAGAGATGCGTAAAGAAGCACAGAGGTCTCAGAAAGTCACCCAGCAGACTGTGCCGAAAGCTAGAAGGATGTCCAGAGAGGTAAGAAGTTGTGTTGTTTATCATTAGGACAAACTGGTAACATGCAAATATGTCTTTTTAGCTGTATACGTAACTGTGCATTAGAGTGTTTGTAGGCAGTTGACATGGCTTGATGAATTTAAGTGTCGCTAGGTGGTATCAGTTGATCATATCTAATATGTGTACAACATTATCATTTGTCAGATGTTAGTTTACTGGAAGAAATATGAGAAAGTGGAAAAGGAACATAGAAAGAGAGCAGAAAAGGAGGCCATGGAACAACGCAAACTGGACGATGAGTTCCGAGAGGTGACAAACTATTACTACTTATTACATACCTACATTTAACACACTTCTTCTCTCTCCTTTTCAAAGTCATGCTATTTTATGTTTCAGTTTATTTACACCCGTCCAATAGTGGAGTTTTTCTTTGAAAAGTAGCATTTTTTAGAGGACAGAGTCAGGCAGTTTTTGGTAATGCATTCATTTTCTGCTAAATGATGTGTACATGATGAAGTAAAAGGGATGTGGATGTACTTTACATTATGCCTTGGGGGAAATTGATCAGTCATCTTTCGCTTTATTTCTTAGGTGCGGAGACAGCAGAGGAAACTGAACTTCTTAATTACTCAGACAGAGTTATATGCACATTTTATGAGCAAAAAATTGAAGGGTAGGTTTGATTTTCAGTCAGCCAGTGAATCCAACAGACCAATTCTGACATCTCTCAGAGCAAGCTAAAATTAATTTCATTTTCTACACCGTGAATTTCAGCCCACCTTGAAAGAAGAGATGCATGTTATCAAAGGTGCACAGAGGATATCCTATGTTTCCATGTAGACTTCAAAGTCTAGCAAGATTGTTTCCCATAACTGCCTTCTTTAACTGTCATTTAGACACATGTACATATACCTAATAGATTCTTTTTCTTCTCACTGAGTGTTCAGGCCCCTCGGTAGTTGCAATATTTTGCTTAAACTATTGGATTGAAGCCACTCTTTTCAAAATGATTTTCAGGTTCACAACCTGATGAAGGCACACAGGAGATTTTGAGAAAATTGGAAGAACCTTCTGCTAAACAGAATGTGAAGACGGTCCAGGGTGGAGTGTTGATTGACATGGAGAATGCTGATACATATGGTGAGATATATTGCAAACTCTGATTCATTGCAAATGCAGTCAGTACCTGTATGTTACTTTTTTTACTTAAAATTCCTTTTGCATGTTTTCAGATGCTGATGAAATGAAATCCCAAGCCTTGTCAAATGCTCAAAGAGCTTTTCAAGATCAAGAATCATGGGTACGTTGTACAGTTTGTGACAGGTTTGTTCTGTTGTTTTAATGAGAAGGTTTTGCTTATTTCATACCTGTAGTAAGAACTTAAGTTTATCTGCAGAGGTTAGATGATTGTGAAGTGAGGTTTTTGTAAAGCACATTAGGGATTCTAAGAATACATGTTAATGCAGAAATCAGAGCCATTTTATAACTCGCTTATGCTGCATTACTTTAAAGAAAATCTTTTAATACTGTATCTTTTAGACAAGGGAGTTTGACAACAACTACCAGCAAGAATCTGGCAAGAAAGTTGCAATGTCACAAGCATTCTGTAAGTTTTTTTTTTCAGTCTGTGCATTGGAGTACTTCTATATTTGTGGCACTGTTGTTGATAATTTGGTACTTGAGATCATATTTTTCAAATTACCTTTCAGTCACATGTTAAGGGGTGATGAATGGTCCTTCCAAAACTGTGGGTCTCTCGAACTTTTCATCCAATTTCGTGGGTCTTGCAACCTCAATTTTTTTGCAGTTATGTTCGTCTGGCAGTCTCTATTTTTTGCAAAGCTGCCTTGTAGTCTAGACCTTTTGAAAGGCTGAGCAAGTCTCAAAGTAAATGTACCAATTTGTTGATGCTGTTTTTTATAAATGACCTCTGAACATCTTAGACCCTGAATGTCTCAAGCTCACATTAGAACATTTGAAGTATCAGTCTGGAAATTGAAGAAGCCAAATTGTCTTGGGCTTGCAAAGAAAACGCTAATCTCGCCTTCTCCCAAAGTCATGCATTTACCATTCACTACCCCTATGTTAATTATCGGTATTCATTAATGATGAGAACTTGAGAAAACAACCTGAAAAGTTTACATTATGTGAATTAAATTAGCTAATACAACAACACTTCTCTAGTTGACCAGAGCTACAGTTTGGCTAATCCGTTAATGAACATGGAGCAAGCCCATCCACAGCCTACTATCTTTGATGGAGAACTCAAGTCATACCAACTTAAGGTACATGTAACTACAATGTTGTAAACATAAGTTAATTTCTAAAGGTAAATGGAAGTTGTTCCAAAAAAATAGATTAAAAAAAAAAATTAAAGAAGTTACAAAGCTATTAAAAAATTAATAGAAACTATTTGTGACATGCAGTATACTGTAAAATGCTGGTTATTAGCTGGATATAATTCAAAGTTTTGAAGTGGGCTTACAAAAACTGGGGCCTGTTTCTTGGTTGAGGAACTGGAAATGGTGACGATGATGATGATGAAAGTAACTTGGAGAATGCATCTCTTGGGGAGGGGAGGAGGGGGGGCATTGGTGGGATTGGTTTTTGAGCAGCCTAAAAGACTGTTTGCAAATTAGCTGAGATGAAATGAAACAAAAGTTTTGATGAGTGATATAATAAATTTACTTAAGCTTCTCTGATTAAGTATATAACTGGACGGTCAGGTCTCTTACAGTCAAACCAAGTGAACCGTACCCTTCAAGGTTGCATTAATGAATTGATTATTTGAATATTGAACCTGCTAGTCATTTCAAGAATGCAATAATGAATTGATTATTGGAAAATTGAACCCACCAGGTGTTCCAAGAATACAGCTGATGGGTGTAATGTTCAAAAAAGTCAATTTAATATTGATTTTGAAATGACTAGCAGTTCAATATTCAAATAATCAGTTCATTATTGCATTCTTGAAACGATTAGTGGGTTCAATTTTCAAATAATCAATTCATTAATGTAACCTGGAGGGGTACGCTTCACGTGGTTTGACTGTAAGAGATCAATTACATGTAGGTCAATTTGATGTTTTTGTTTGGTTAAAAATGGTATTAGTGTTTAGAAATGTTTAAAGTGATTTCGTCAGCCCTAATGTAGTGTTTTCATGTTGTAGGGAATGAACTGGCTTATCAACCTCTATGAACAAGTAAGTCGCATTATCTTCCAATACTAGGGGTTTGTTTCAGCTAGTTTCAGTGTAGTGTATTCTAACAGAAATCTATGGTGCAAAACTTTGCATGTACATAAGCATAGAGAGAGAAATCTCTGGCTTTTGTGTGCATGGTAGTGTCTTCTTTCATGTGGTAGCCATGAATGGTTTGACAGAACATTGTGTGAAGTTTTCCTGCTCATCACTATCAATAATAGACTACACTTCACAAGTTGATAATTTCTGTCTGTTTTACAGGGTATCAACGGCATACTAGCTGATGAGATGGGTCTAGGAAAAACTGTTCAGTCCATAGCCTTTCTCTCATACCTAGCAGAAGTGAGTTTTTTGTGATCATTGTGGCTCTGTTCTCTTGGTAACGCATGGTTAAGTCTTTAACTTGCCAATACTGTAAAAGTATGTGCAATGTTTCTCAGAACAAGGGGTTTATTATTTGTGGTTGCAGTACAATCTGAGCAGGTTTTGTGTTACAGCTACAATGAAATACCTCAATTTGAGAAATATAATTCTAATTTTTCCCCCTGGGGCTATTAAAACTAAATTGTATTTAGAGTTTTTGCAAGGAAAACATGTGACCTAATCATGAGTATGGAGGACTCCAGATCAAGTTCAAGCCCTGACGGGGGTCATTGCATTGTATTTTTCGGCAAGATACTTTACTCTCATAATGCCTCTATCCACTCAGCTGTACCTTTACCTTCCCAAGTCAACAGAATTGGTATGCAAAGTACATTGTATGGATGCTACACTAGCATTAGGAAAGGGATTAGGAAAGGGAACTGTTTGTAAAGCCACTGTAGTTGCAGTATCACAAGCTGCTGTCTGTTCCGTTAATTTCTGATGTTGGTGGAAAATCAATGACCTTCTGACTTGTTCAAGTTTCTTTGAAAGCTTTGTCAGAAAACAAAAATATTGGTCCAGAATGCACGAAATCTTGAATTTCTGGAAATTGTCTTTGTGAAATGTAACAAGTGCATGTAGTCAACCATATGGTGTTTCATTCTTATAGACACACAACATCTGGGGTCCTTTTCTTGTGGTGGCACCTGCCTCTACACTGCACAACTGGCAGCAAGAAGTCAGCAGATTCATTCCTCAGTTCAAGGTGTGTAGAATTAGTTTATGTTCAGTTGGCATTGTAGATAGCTGTGGACAGAGACTGGCAGGAGACTGACCTGTTCAAGGCAAGCCAGGATTCAGTCTGAACATGTCACAAGGTAGTCTCCTTTACCCCCACTGTCTGTCCTATGGGTTCCACAACAGTTTAACTAGAACAGCTGCAGTCACAGACAACAGTCTGCAGTGTAATGTGTGAGTGCACACTGTCTCAATTTTATGTCACTAATGTTCCAAAATCTTTGTACATTTCTTCCAGGTGTTGCCTTACTGGGGAAACCAGGGTGACAGAAAGTCACTGAGAAAATACTGGACTCAGGTACAGAGCTGCAAAGTTTAAATTATTTTAGCCACTGGTTACAAGCCATTAGGGACAGTCTGATAGTAAACACAAGTAACTCACTAACAGTAGCTAATGTGAATTAAAATTGTATTCTCTCTTTCCGTTTAGAACCAAGTCCACATAAATGACTATGAGAATGCTCCATTCCATGTGCTTATTACAAGCTACCAGCTGGTGAGAAAGAATTTTTTTCGTGCCTTGTGCTGCTGTAAACTACTGTCAGTAGTAAATTAGATGTAGTTTTCTCTTTTCTAACTAAGAAACAAATGTAACTGATTTTGATTGATTGACTGATTGATTGATTGATTGATTGATTGTATCTGATCATCAGGTTGTGCAAGATGTGCGTTATTTCCAGCGCATCAAGTGGCAGTACTTAGTACTGGATGAAGCACAGGCAATCAAAAGCAGTTCCAGGTACACAAGATGCAATATACATAGTTGATTGCTTTGAACCTGCAAGTGTATGCTTCCAAAAAGCATGTACTTGATATTATATGACATGGAAATTTGAAATGCAAAAAGAGGACAAGATTATAAAAGGTTTGTGCAGTGGTGCATAAATTTGAACTTAATCTCTTTTGCTTTGTTCTTTCTATAACAGTGTGCGATGGAAGATACTCCTTGGTTTCTTATGCAGGAACAGACTTCTTTTGACAGGCACGCCTATTCAAAACAGTATGGCTGAGGTTTGTGCTGGTTTAACTTCATTTGGCTTTTAGTTTTAAATACTTCAAGTTGGATAGGCTGTCGTCTTGTTGTGTGCCATGGTTGGTTATTTGTGATAATTAAATTTCGATCCACTAGCTGTTTGCATGATCCCATACTGGCATATATTGGTATTATGCTGGTATTATGCAATGATATATTCATTGCATTTGTAAATCCTGATGATTTTTTACCGTGTATAAAGAAATATTAATGATTAAAGATTGAAGTGGATTGCCAAAGAAAGTCACAGTTTATGATTTAGTCTAATGGATGTAAAATTGGTTGTCTGTTTGATGATTTGTATTTGAATGTTTTTGATAACAGTTGTGGGCATTGCTTCACTTCATCATGCCAACTCTCTTCGATTCTCATGAAGAATTTAATGA